AGGCTTCCCGCCGAGCAGGGAGCCCGATGTGGGACTCGATCCCAGGACCCCGGGATCATGACCTGAGCCGAAGGCAGACGCTTAACGACTGAGCCACCCAGGTGCCCCGGTCCCTGACTTTCAAGAAATGCCTTCGTTTCCAGGAGTGAGGAGTTGGCCCAGCATCCCTGGCTAGCTCTGGACATCCCCGCATGCTTCCATGTCCCTGGTCATCCGCTCTGCAGTCGGCTCTATCAATACGGCTGTCCCTTGGGGCATCAAAAGCCATCCTGGCCTGTACCTGGGAACCCTGATCATAGCAACAGAAGAGCAGAAGGCAAGCGCTTTCTGGTCTGTGCTACACACAGCTCGACCACCACCAACCTTCGAGAAAGCCAAGGCTGCCCCTCCCGCGCACATGCCACCAGCCTGCCCTCGCCCTTCACCAGCCTCAGGCGGGAGGAGAGTGCTGGCCAGCGCAGAGATGCTGGTCCCTGCTCATCCCGCCGGGGGTGGCCCACTCCTCAACCTGCCTCCCCAGAATCCCCTGCCGGAGCCCTCCTGGCATGGCGCAGCACGGCTGCAAATGTGGTCTCAGGGGCTGTGTTCGGAGCTGGGGGCTCCCAGACGAGTTCCAGGGAGGCCAGGAGCAGCTACTCATGTGCATTTCTTAGGGCAGCAGGTCCTTCCCATTCAGCACTATTTCGAAGGTTGAGAACCAAGGCGCGAAAAGCAGCCTAATTCACCTAAGTAAGGGTTCCAGAGGCCTATGTGGCTTAGAGCCTTACCACCACTGACAGTGTTTCTGGGGGGCAGGTCTGCTACCATCCTAGCACTTCACATGCCAGATCAGGATGTTGTGCTTGCTGCTAAGAAAGATAGGGAACTCTTTAAGAACAAGGATAGGATTGTGTCCTCAGGGTAGAACCATCTGGCACATGGAAGGTGTTCAAAAAGTATTTGTAAAACGATTGCCTATTACCACAAACCAACTTTTGAAATATTTTAAGCTGAAACTACCTGCATTTGTTGTGTCGTTTTAAAGTTCCCTGAGCTAGCTTTAAGGAGCAGAAATCGACCGTGTTCCAGAGCGTGTTCCAAGTTCACACCAGTAACGAACATGTCCTGGACTCTAGACGCCAGGCTTGTGCGAAGCCCTCCACACGTTCACATGCACGTACACAAATACACACACACAAATACATGCCGTACACACATACATACACACAAAGAATACACACCATTCACATATATACACAAATACACACCACACACACACAGAAAAAAACACACACCATACACAAATACACACGGATACACACCACACATATACACCATACAACATACAAATAAACACCACACACACACAAACACAAATACATTCCACACATACACATCATACACACACACCGCATACACACAAATACACAAACACAAATACATGCAAATACGTGCCATACACATACACACACAAAAATACACACAAATACACACCACTCACATATACAAATACACACCATACACAGAAAAAATACACACCATACACATACGCATATACAGCATACACACAAACACACATCATACACCCATACATACACACAGAGCAACCCTGTGAGCTGGGCCCTATCATCACACTTCGGATAGATGACAAAACTGAGACTTTGGGAAGCTAAGTAGTCTGCCAGAGCCACCAGGCTATAAGTCACCTGAGGTGATCTGTATGGAAAGTGACAGAACCTAGAAATACCCCAGTCTTTTATGTTCAACGCTCAATTATTAATTCAATAGGGAATGGATGTTTCGTTACAAAGTTAAAATTAAAAACCACTTTTCTTTGAAAGGGATTTTTCTGAATCAAGGCAACGTATAAAACTTTATTTTTGAAGTAATTGCAATGTTCTTCAACTTGACTACAATTTGGGGGTTAAAAAGACGTAAGCGATAATATCAACGGACTGTGAATGTATAATTCTAATGACAAAACTGAAACTTTTTAAAAAAAAAGTCCTCTAAATGAGAAACCTCCGAGGCTCTGGCCAGCGCGGCACCTGCCCCTCGGTGCTCCTATGGCTCATCCAGAAAGGAAGGAGCCGCCCGCGGCTATGAGGCCACCTGCAGAGCCCACCTTTCCCTCTGCACTTGAGCTTTTCCAGCTGCCCTCGGGCAGGGCCAGGTTGGAAAATATAATCTCCCTGTCGGGAGACCACCTTACTCACCTCTGACTTTTCTCTGGTGCCTAATCCTGCACATTAGATTCACTAGCTGTTCGGTAGACACTAGGAGCGCATTGTCTTCTTCCCCAGAACAAAGAGGGCCTGCAGCGTTTTCATCAGCCATGGGCACACCGTGGCCCTGACTCTGCCACGCTGTTCACCCTGGAACAAGGGCCCGCTCCTCACCTGGAGGCCCAACTTTGTGAGGTGTGAGCATCCTGGTCTGGGTCCACCCGAGGAAGACGCCTTTCCCGCCAACAAGCCAATTTTTTTTTTTTTTTTAACCCCTGAGAACAAAGTCCTAAGCAACCTTCATTTTTATATGCCTAATCTCTAAAAGAGTTTCCTCGACAATAAGTGTTAATTTGCTCAGGGGCTGAGTGGTCCGCCCAGCAGTATAGTCACAAGAAATAACTGGTGTTCGAGAAATATCAGGGCCACCCCCCCTGCACTGAGATCCCAAACAGACAATAGAATATCCCCTCTGGATCCCAGGCCCCGCACTCACCGGATCCAGCCACCCCCCCGCCCACACACTCACGTACTCCTTCCCTCTGTGTACCCCAGAGGCCTTGGCTATAGCTACTCACCCCCACCCTCATTCTGGCCTTCAGTGGCTTCACTATTTACCGAGAATTCTGGTTGGTTGCTGGCATAAGTGAACCTGACTGTCTTTTCCACCCGTTCTCGCCTCGTCATTCCCACAGGGACCCCCACCCAGATTTCAAGGACGGACCTGGGATAGGAAAATGCAAGGGGAGGTGTGGGAGCCTGTAAGCAGCTTCACCCTTCCCAGCTTCCCGGAAATTCCTGTGGCAGCAAGACTCTCCCTACCGCAGAAGGAGAAGCCTGAGCGAGCACTAGCCTCGACCCTCTGGCAAAGGCCAGGGCCCTTCTCCATGGAAGACAGTGTCTAAAAATGTGCCCTGCAAAGAAATGCCCCAAACGTCATTTACCACCCAAGCCGCTTCTTCCCTGAGCCTCTTCTATTTACTGGGATCGGGAGAGAAAAATGCAACATTTCAGGTGGGGCTTCCTCAAGCTCTGTGAGCTGGTCCCCCGTTTCCATGTCAGTGGAGGGGCCGTACCCAGAATTTTTCAGCTGGGCCCTCAGGGGCCCAAGGGGAAGCACCCCCCCACCTCAGGGGGCCCCAGCCCTTGGACCTGACAGGAGCCTGGGCCTCCAGAGGAACATCCAGGAACCCAGTTCTCCACTCCTCCTCACAGCACTTACCACAGGACAGGTCATGTTTACTTAGTGTTGTCTGCTGCCTTGGAAGGATGACCTTGACCTTCTGCTTTAGATTTTCTACAGAAACCCCTGGACTTGGGGTCAGCAAGGGAAGGGAAGTAAGAACCCAGGACAGCGGATGACAGCTCGTTACTGGAACAGTGTGAAGGGTGGCCGGAGAGACAGAGGTGAAGGGGGTCAGCCAGGGGACAGGGGGTCAAGGACAAGGAGGACAGCTTGGGAAACCCCACAGCTAGACCCTCCAGGAAGGCCTGCTCTGAAGCGGCCTGACAGGAGGAGAGCGACTAGAAGAAGGGGTCCTGCTGCCTGGCTGTTTTGTTGGCCCTAGTCTTTACTGGTGACAAGGTGGACCACGGAGCGCAGCAGCTCCCCCATCCCCTCGCGGAAGAGGACAACCTGGCACAGATCACTACAATGTGCACTTTTGCTTGGATAACACATGCAAGAGCCACATTTCACGGCAGGCCGGGTGAGGGTAAGGAGGGTGGGGGTAGCGGGTCTAAAATTTAAAACCCTTAAGGGGATCTGCCCCTGGAGGGCCCCCTTGCTTCCCATTGGGCTATCATGTTTTCTCCCCCAAATAGTTATTCTGAAAATAGAGGGTTAATTATTTGTTTCCCAAAATGAGTGACAACAGCGTGCCCTTGAACATTGGCACACCGGAAACGAGTCTACTTTTAAAAGTTCAAATCGCGTATCATTTTTTTCAGGAATACTGGGCAAATCAGAGGCATGCCTCCCAGAAGGCAGCTTTCCTTCCAGACCTGCTCCTTTGTCCTCCACAGAGGCACGTGGGCACCTGCGGTCCGCTCTCACCTGAGGGGGAGGGTGCAGGAGGCTGGGGCGAGGGCCCACGGCACGAAAACCATCGTGGGGCAAACCAGCAGGAGCTCCCAGAAAGCAATTCCCACATCTGTTCAACTGTCTTTCAAACTCTCCTTGCTTTTCACGTCTTACAAAGCCTTTGATAGGGACTGAGGGAACGAGAGGCCTAGGCAACAGACTAGGAAAATGCTGCCCGAGCCCCCCTAAACACTGCCTTTCAAACATGTACTTACAAGGGGAAAAAAAAAAAAAAGCCCGTGAGGAGCACGTTTGCAGTGCCCTTTAAAGCGTATTTCAGGCAACAGAAGCGTTTAACAGGCCCTACCAGGCTAAATGTCTGTTCTACAGGAAGGATCGGCACACTGCATCCTCAGATGGGTGCAGCCACCCACCACACCAGGGAAGGGGCCCTCTGAGGACCCCCCACACCCCATCCCACTATGCTCAGTGCTCCTGAGGACTTGGGGTGGCGTGCTAACAGACGTGGGCAAGGAGCGCGGGGGCCCAGAGGCCCGGATGGGCCACCCAACTGGCCACGTGCTCGCAAACACCCAACTGGGTCGGTGTCTGCCTCTGGAATGAGCTCGTGCCTCCTGGCATCCAGACAGCCCACCAGCGCCCCGGTCCCCCAGCCCGCAGAGGAGAACGCAGTCTGCTTACAACACGGCTCCCGGACACGGACGGGGACGGGGAGACCCCGCACCGAGACTGGGGCGGTACTGTGGCCTCACCTCTGGAGTGTTCTTCTTGAACTCTCGGCTCTGCTCGATAAGCCGCTTTCTAGACTGCTCGCTTTCATCTTGCCGGTTCGCCAGTACCGTGGCGGTGGCATCGAGTTCCCTCTGTGAAGATACAAAAAGGGGGGACGAGACTGTCACCGCGCTGCGTACCAGAGGAGATCACATTTGCATTTGACCAGAACCCAGGAGAGGCCCCCGTGGCCCCAGGGACCCTAGGCTCCGGGGCGGGGGGGGGGGGGGCAGCGGACACTGAGGCAGCTCCCCTCCAGCCCGAGTGCTGGTCCCAGAACACCAAACTGGCTCAGCCCGCCGTGCCCTGTTTCCATGCGCACCTCACAAGTGTCTGCTTCTATGACCGAACGCAAACTGTTTCTCTTTCCTAAACCCTGAGTCAGGCCGAGGCCCAGGTGCCATCCCACCCGGGAGTGGCTCATCTCTGTTCGTAACAAGCGTTCCTTCTTGCCCCATCTCTGCGCCCTGGTTCTTCGGCTTTACTCTGGGCTTCTCGGTGGGGTAATCTATTTGTCTTCAACAGTGTGGGCCTGGGATCTTTTGTGGTGATACTTGGTTTGCTTTCATTAACAGCATTTACCGTGGGCCTAATATACGCGAGGCACCACGTCCAGGACTATCCAAATTAACCTGTTACTTGTTTTCAGGAGGGACCTTTAAGAGGCAATTTCCAAGAATTGTGATTTGCAGGATGTGGTCAAGTCTGAACATGAGGCACCTGGAAACACTTGTTATCCTCCAACTATTTTCCTCGTACTGAAACCCCGAGAGTTGCCAGGAGCGGGTCCCCTGTAAGAGGACCTCTGCCCACGTGACAAAATGACACTCAAGCATCAGAGAACCTGTGCCCTGGCCTCGGGAATTCTGGGAGACGCTGCCAACAGGGCCGGTTTCAAACAAGGCTGCGGCAGATGGGCCCAGAGTGGTGTCCTGGCTGACAGCAGGGGCACAAGGACACGCGGCTGCGGTCACCGAAAGGCCCCTTTGCTCGCTGAGTGGCCTTCGTGATGAAAGACACATTTTGCTTAGGATTCAGTGTGGCTGCTCCCGGTGGCTTCTCTGCGGTGCGGCCCCTCCCCTGAGGCCCAGCAGAGCAAGGACCCAATCGAAGACCGCAAGGCGAGAGGCATCAGAGACAGAGATCCTTCCAGAGATGCCCAGGAAGCCTGTGAGTCCTCCCCACACCCCCAGCCACCCCGCGAAGTTCCACCTGCTTCCCTTTTGGGCGGAAGTCACCCAGGCAGGTCTGTAGGGCCTCCTGGTGGGCGCTCCACTCGCACATGACAGCGGGGGCCCCTGCCAGATGAGACGACAGGGCACTGGAGCCAACGTCCAGCGTGCTGTCAACGTGGAAACTGTAGACAGTTTTAAGGGGGGAGGGCGGTGGGGGAGGGGGCACAGACACCCCCCCCCCCACGCTCTCCCCTTTCGTGTTCCTGGCATGGCAGCAAATCTTGGGCAAACAAGTCCAAAAGAATAACATGGGCTGGGATTCAAGAACAGATGTCAAAGCTACTGCAGAAAAGAGGGAAACACTGCGCATTTTGATAGACCACATTTGAAACGCATCCCAGTCGAGTGAAGGCAGGAAAAAAGAGCAACCAAAACCGACGTGGCGGTGCGGGGACGGAGACGGCGAAGAGAGAGCAATCGCAGATCAGCAGAAGGCTTTTCAAAAATATAAACAATCTGCTCAGGAGGAGGGCCTAGGCGGCTATATTTAAGCGGCAGCAGCAGAAGTTATAAACCAAGGCTCCAAGAAGTGGGAGCAACGCCAGTATCGAAACAGGACAGAAAAAGTAGAGCTGACGTTTTGCTCCCATCGCCCGCAGGTGCAGAAAACGTGGAGAAAAACAAAGAGCTCGGACTGCTTTCAAGGAGGACCCTCCTCCCTGGGAGGGGGTATCACCCAGCTAGCCAGAACTGCTGGATACAGGGGGCACGGAGGTGACCGTGGGGCCTGGCCCTGACACCCCCCCACCTTCCCATCCAGGGGGACCGGCGTGGGGACGGTGGGGGCAGTGCCACGGGAGGCACGGAAGAGCCCTGGGGTTCCCACATGTCCCTCTCACTGGAATCCAGCCCAGCCTGGTGCCAAGGAGCCCCACGGGCATGTCCATCAGAAAGCCCAACTCAGAAGTGCTGAGCCCAGGACAGGTCCCTTGAGGGAAGGCAGCAAACCCACCTTTGTCACAAAGCCATGGGGCCAGTGCGCCTGGGGTGACCTGCTGCTGGCTGTTGGGGACCCGCCACGGGCCCCCCACACTCCCTTCCCCACGTGTGCAGACATACGCAGGTCCCACATGAGAAACCAACGGGAGGCTCCTAATGTAATAGGGCGCCACCACCCGCCACCATGAAAACAGACTGGCACAGCGAGGAGGAGAGCCTGCTCTTGCCCGGCCCCGGGGTTTGATTGGTCAGACTTGGGGCTCACGATCCTTGACCGGGTCCCTTGCAAAACCACCACCGAGTCCTTCTGAAGGACACCTTCTGAGGCTTTCTAAGGTTGTTGGGACAACGCAGAGAAGAGACAGCTATTAAACATAAGCCAAATACTGTTTTATTATCTACCCAGCCTGCCTATTCTCAAAGTGTCAAATATAATGACACATTAACAAGGGAATTTAATGGGTTTAGGGGAGGTGGCAGTGGGGGCCTAAAATACAGAACCCTCAGTCCCTGAGTCACTGATCACTTATTAAAAAAAAAAGAGCATGGAGAGTCCCCACATCCGTAAAGCACTAAAACCTCAGAAAAAGGGGAAGGGGGAAAGCAAAAACTGGGAACCAACTGAAGTATCCAACAAAGAGTGCGTCGACGTATCCACTCAAGGATCATTCGATAACGGTTTAAAAAAAGAAAAAAAGTAAAGAAGAAGAAGAAGGTAGCGGGAGGGGAAGAATGAAGCGGGGGAAATCGGAGGGGTAGACGAACCATGAGAGACGATGGACTCTGAAAAACAAACAGGGTTCTAGAGGGGAGGGGGGTGGGAGGATGGGTTAGCCTGGTGGTGGGTATTGAGGAGGGCACATTCTGCATGGAGCACTGGGTGTTATGCACAAACAATGAATCATGGAACACTTCATCTAAAACTAATGATGTACTGTATGGGGATTAACATAAGAATAAAAAAAAGAAAGAAAGAAAGAAAGAAAAAAAAAAAGAAAAAAGAAAGGTCCCATATGCACCAGGAGATGGGATGATCTTCAAGATATATTTAAGCAAAAAGAGCAAAGTGCAAAAACAATGCTAGTATTGTTTGAAAGGGTATCTATACATATCCTTACATAAGCTTTGATTGTCTCCAGAAAGATACAAAAGATTTGTAACTGCTTGGCTCTGAGAAGGCTTTGGGTGGGGGGCGGGGGGGGGGGGAGGGAGATGGACCTGCCCTTCAGCAGACGGCTGACCCTCGAAGAACACGGGTTTGAACTTTGCGGGGCCACTTAGGTGAGCATTTTTTATAGCGCAACACCGTAAATGTATTTTCTCTTCCTCATGATTTCCTTAATAACATTTTCGTTTCTTTAGCTGACTTTATTGCAGGAATACAGTATATAATACATGTGATATACAAAGTACGAGTTAATCGACTATTTATGCTATTGGTCCAGGCTCCCAGTCAACTATAGGTCCTGAGTGGTTAAGTTTCGGGGGCATCAAAAGTTCTATGTCGGGGGTGCCTGGGTGGCTCAGTCGTTAAGTGTCTGCCTTCGGCTCAGGTCATGATCCCCGGGTCCTGGGATCGAGCCCCACATCGGGCTCCCTGCTCAGCGGGGAGCCTACTTCTCCCTCTCCCACTCCCCCTGCTTGTGTTCCCTCTCTCGCTGTGTCTCTCTCTTTGTCAAATAAATAAATAAAATCTTTAAAAAAAAAAGTTATACGTGGATTTTCGACTATGCTGCGGGTCGGTGCCCCTAATCCTCACTGTTCAAGGGTCAAGTGTACATCTTCTGAGTATTTTAGCCATGTGCATATATTACCAAATTGGAAAAACTGTACTATATGTTCCTTTCTTAAATCCTGCTCATGTGAAAAAATACAGGTTTACATACAGAAATATATTTTACATCATGCGTCCCACACACGAGGGTTCACGGTCTGCACTGTCCACCTGCCCAGGAGCAAAGGCCTGGAATAGATGACCTCTTGACTCACTCTGGTAATTCAAAAAGTAAGGCCAGCCCGTCCTTTGTCAAAACAACAGCTGTTTCTTGCACAACGTGCTGCACACTGGCCAGTGTCTGGGCTTAGGAACGAGGAGGAGGTGGCCAGTTACAGAAAACACCGCTCACCCGGGCCAGAACTTTCCCAGGGAAGGGCAGAGGAGGGCGTCCCCTCCAAAACGATGTAGAAATATTCTAAACATCTGACAGCCCCAGGTCCGAAGGGATGGGAAGGTGGCAAGGCTGGCAGCAAAAACGTGGGGCCTCGGAACACACGGGCACTTCCAACTAGGCCGAAAGAGGCAGAAATTGTCCTGGGAAAGCGTCTCACGAGGACAGGCACCTGGATGCAGAAACTGCAATTTTTGTTCTAAGTCATCTAGTGGCAACGGACGCCAGGAGGTGACGAGGTCCAGAGCAAGACCAGTGGCTTTGGAGCCGAGGCCCCACGGGCGCAGGCACAGCCCTTGCCGGGAGATGGGGGGGCGGGGGGGGGGGGGGTGCTACCACATGGCTGTGGATGCCTGCAATCCTGCTTTTTTCACTGATGAGAATTTCCAGGATGCTTTTTCAACATTTCTGACAGATCCTCAAAGGGCACAGCTCCTTAACATTTAACTTTCTCTCTGCCTGAACTCCAGCCTCTCAGCCAAGTGTTAAAGATGTATTAAATACCAAAAATTAAAAAGTGCCAATAGTGGCCGAATTTAAAAGAAAATTTTCCCAAAGAAAACCAGTCTTCAGAATGTCACTGATCGGTTTGAAACTGCTCGCCTTTAGAGTAGGTATGTCAGCTGTTTGCCTGTATTAAATTGGGGGGGCATCTGCAGGGCTTCTGTGAGGCTCCCCTCCTAAAGCCCCCAGGCTAGGCCTGCCTCAGCTCCCTGATCCTTCTGGGCCTGGGGAGGTGGGCCCCCTCCC